CACACTTAGTGTTATTGATGTATGTGGATCAGTGTCATCCGACTCTGTAACTGTTTTCTGTTAATTGCCAGAAGCTTCTCACGCTGCCTTCTCTGGTTTTGAATGAGCAATTCACATGACTCCCCTTAGGTCCTTTTTCATTCGACGTGATTTTGGTTGACATCCTGGGTTTATCATATACATTTTTAACAAATCTGTGTTCACCTGCAAATAACAAACGATTTTCAGTAAAACTGACAAAAAGCTGACAATGTTACCCTGTGATTCAGAGGCATTCGGTACCTCTTCACACACACCCCGCAGCCCAGCTCCAGAACAGTTCATCGTCCCTGTACCCGTTAAGCAGCCCGCCCTGTGGCCTGCGTCCTGTCTCTGGGCCTTGTCGGTTCTTGGAATCTCACATCCATGGAAGACGTGTGCCTTGCTTCTGGCCTCTTCCCCTTGTTCACCCACATTGTGGGGCTTCTCTTTCCTGCTGTGTCACGTCGGGTTGTACCTGGGTACCTTGGCCTGCTCGTCTTTGCGCAATGTACCAGGCACTTTCACACACCACCATGTCCCTTCTCTAGAAGTTTTTTTTCCTTTTTAAAATTTATTTATTCTAATTTGTTGTACATGACAGCACAATGCATTGCAGTTCACAGTACACAAACGGTTGTAACAAAGTCCATTCACATCATTCGTGTCTTCACACATGTACATGGGGGTAATGACGTCCATATCACTCCATCGTCTTTCCTACCCCCTGCCCCCTCCCTCCCTTCCCTCCCCTTTGCCCAATCAAAGTCCCTCCCTTCCTCCCATGCCCCCTCCCTCCATTATGCGTCAGTTTCCACTTATCAGAGAACACTCGGCCTTTGGTTTTCTGGGATTGGCTTGCTCCACTCAGCCTTATCTTCTCCAACTCCATCCATTTACCTGCAAATGCCACGATTTTATTCTCTTTGAATGCTGAGTAATATTCCATGCTGTGTATACACCACAGTTTCTTGGTCCATTCGTCCACTGAAGGACATCTAGGTTGGTTCCACAGTCTAGCTGTTGTGGGTCGTGCTGCTGTGAACACTGATGGGGCTGTGTCCCTGTAGTGTGCTGACTTTAAGTCTTTGGGTGTAGACCAAGGAGTGGGATAGCTGGGTCAAAGGGTGGTTCCATCATTCTTCTTTATGAAGATGTAGAAACAGGCTGTGCAGCTCGTGCAGGCCGACACAGCTGGAGTAGGGGGAGAGCAGGAGACCATTCTGCTCTCCAGCTGCAGAGCCCGTCCAAGGCCACACACTCGGGTATTGATGGGCTGGGCAGCAGGAGGAGGTGACCAGGGCAAGGACTGGGCAAGCTGGCCCCATCTAAAGGGGTGGGCACTGTACCCTGCTCCAGGTGGCCAGAGCTTCCAGTTTGTCCAGACAACAGTGAACCTGGGTTTAAGAAGCCAAAAGTCATGCAGCAGCTAGTGGCCTGGTGGCCATCTCCTGGCAGACACTCCTTAGCTCATTTCTATCATGAAGGACAGAGTGGGAGGTGTGGGGGACACGGGCAGGGTGTCCGGTCACACCCAGGTCCTTTGGGGTTAGAGCTGGGATGGGCCTTGGCTTGGCAGAATGGCCAGCTCTGTGGTAAGGTGGCGTGCGTATCCCTAAACCTCCCC